TGATGTATGAGAGAGATAGTGTGCAATATTAATTATTATTTTGGTTTTTATTTTCACCTTTATGCCTCTCAATAATTGTTGTTTTAGGTGGCATATTTTAATTCACATGGATGAGAAATTGGTTGCTATGTTGGTCTTGTAAGCCTCATTAAGATATAAATCATGTAAATCATGTTAAGGCCAGACTTATTAATTTTCTTTTTCTTCTAGTAAAGGCAGAAGGGAAAAAAAATTTCCAAATTTGTGTGAAGGGAGAGAGAGAAAAAAAAACTCCACGAATGCAAGGGTTGGGATTGACCAGATCAGGTATTCTCGAAACGATCTTAGCGCTAGGATGTCCTAGATTCTTATCTTCTAACATTGATTCTAGGACATCCTAGCGCTAAGATCGTTTCAAAAATACCTCGCCTGAATTTTTCATATATCATATATTCTATTACTAATTGGAATTTCAGATGATGATGGGTATTTTTAGCATGAATAAAGGTTTTTTCCCCAGAGAAGTGTTTTTGCGAAAATAAATTGGTCTGGCCTTAAGATTAATAATGTTGTTTTGGGAGATGGAATTATTTCTGATATTAACTTGGGCATTTCATTCTAATCACATCTTCTAATGGCAGACAGGGATGCTGAGATCTGCATTGTGCCTTGTTTAACTATGCCTAATTCCTTAAGATAAGTCTTACAGTAGGCTAAAATTTTGATTTACATGTTTAGAGAACTTGGTTTCAGGAATCTTGTTTTTCCTTGAAGAATTGACATATGACAGAACTGCAAATATACATCTCGCCTTCCACAATATACTATGATTTTGAATCTGCAAATTTTGACTACTGGTATGTTTTGCGTCAATTATTAAAATAGGAATTTTCAAATATTTTACATAGAGTCATCTCTCCTGCAGTGATGAACATTTGTAGAAACTTTTGCCAGTAGGCCCTACCTGTAGAAAGCCAAGGTTTGTATTCATTCTATGATCTAATTATAGTTTGTTGTTAATGAAAATATTGATACTAACAGAATATAGTCACACCTATAGATCTATTCTAGTTACTTATATATAATTATGTTATCTTTCTAATATTAAGAATTTTTTACGGATCTACTGCCAAGATTCCTGAAATATTTAGGATGTCTTTTCTGTCCACTATTTCCTCTACTTTAATAGTGTTTTGTTATTTTATAAATATGAATATATGGTAATATTTTGTCTTTTACTGGTTTGACTGTATGTGAGTATGTTTTCTACAGATATCTGGGTACCCTACTCACCCGACTCGAATTTTCCATGTTGTGCCAGCCTTTCTGAATTGAGGCTATATATGATTGTACATTCTGTACATCCTGAATTGAGGCTATATTGTTATCCATTCTGTACATCCTGAATTGAGGCTATATTGTTGTACATTCTGTACATCCTGAATTGAGGCTATATTGTTATCCATTCTGTACATCCTGAATTGAGGCTATATTGTTATCCATTCTGTACATCCTGAATTGAGGCTATATTGTTATCCATTCTGTACATCCTGAATTGAGGCTATATTTGATTGTACATTCTGTACATCCTGAATTGAGGCTATATTGTTGTACATTCTGTACATCCTGAATTGAGGCTATATTGTTATCCATTCTGTACATCCTGAATTGAGGCTATATTGTTATCCATTCTGTACATCCTGAATTGAGGCTATATTGTTGTACATCCTGAATTGAGGCTATATTGTTGTACATTCTGTACATCCTGAATTGAGGCTATATTGTTGTACATCCTGAATTGAGGCTATATTGTTGTACATTCTGAATTGAGGCTATATGATTGTACATTCTGTACATCCTGAATTGAGGCTATCATCAGGCGTCATCAACCAATGAGATTAATGTTTAAATAATTACATAATTTTGAAAGTTTTACTCCAACCTGTGCTAAAAAAATAATCAAGAATCGGTCCTCAAGAATCAAGAAGTTTGCACAGCACAGACACCAATTTATTGACTGTTTTTTGACAGTTGGTTATATTGGTATTGCTTCATTTTGCGCTTTTTATCGACAATACCTTACTTTCACATGCATTGCATTTTATTCACAGAATATTTTGATGAAATAGAATTAATTGGAGGCCCATTATAGCCACATCAAGTGTATGGACAGTTGCTCACAGGACAAATGCTTACCAGACAATTAAATAGGACCATTCCTCACCACAGCTAAGAGCATATTTCTTTCTGTTTATATTCAACATTTAAAGGGACAGATTGGTCAATTTGGGTGGTTGATTTTAGTCTTAAATATAAGTAAATAATCTTCAGAAGTACTAGAAATGTCTGAAAATCACATAATTCCTTTAAAAATACTTCAAACTAGTAATTTTACTCACTATTTCTATATATGTCTTTTCTATATATAACAGAGTATCTTAAATTGACGAGTCGTCATTTTAACATTCAAACACAGATAATTCTAGACACACATGGATTTGACTTAACTGTCCCTTTAAGACCTATGACTCCTATGTCTGGTCACATTGTGTCCATAACCATGCAATGTAGCTTATATTAAACTGTTGATGAATGTGTTATGAAACATATTAAACTGTGTATTAAGAGCATTGACAGACTCTAAATAAATTAAAGGACAATGTTGATTATGTTTTGTTGTGCCTGGTTTTAATGGTTGTGTTCCTCAAGTCATTTTATAAAGTTTTAAATTTGTTATATTTTTATATCTAACTGTATATATTGTAAAATTATTTATTATTGTAGTTTTTGACGTAGAATTTTAGATGTTGTATAAAAATAAGGTTTTAATATCAGTAGTCAAGGTTGATTTAGCTGATATTAGTTATAATATAAAGCCTTTATAACACTTAAAATTTAGTATGCTTGAATTAAATCTCTCTTAGACAATCCTCATCATCATGGACATTGGGAATAACCATTGCAATTCCAATATTATATTATGTCTGAATCAGACAGGATACTTTGTTATATTATGTCTGAAACAGATGTCTCAATCAGACAGGATACTTTGTTATATTACGTCTGAATAAGCTGTCTCAATCAGATTGGATATTATGTCTGAATCAGACAGGATACTTTGTTATATTATGTCTGAATCAGCTGTCTCAATCAGATAGGATATTATGTCTGAATCAGACAGGATACTTTGTTATATTATGTCTGAATCAGCTGTCTCAATCAGATAGGATATTATGTCTGAATCAGATATATTAAGACACTATCCTGATTATCATGGTAATAGGATAAGTAATTATTTTCACATTGTTTATATTATGTCTGAATCTTGTATAATATTAACATTGTCTGATCATCCTGGTAATTGAGGTAATGTTATAGTCACTTTGGGGTAAAAATGCACGTCAAGTAGTGGAGTGATGAAACCTACATAATATATGTGTGCAAATGTCCAGCATCGAAAGTTTCTGTTTTTTAATCATGTAAACATTAAGATTTTTCGCTTAAAACATGTAGTACTCTGACCTTTCTGGAATTTTATTGTCATATTTCTTTATTCAAATTGTCTCTCCTTATGAAAATGACATAGTGACAAGTCATGTGAATTGATATAAATTTTTAATATAACTTAAACGCAATGAGGGTTACTAGACCTCTATTAAACTGTTAATGCTCCTTGCTTTAACCCATCATTTGTTAATAAGTACTGCAAGAGTCAATGTTTTTATGATCATGTTATATGTTTGTTCTGTTTCATTAAAATAAGACCAAATTTTCCTTTCATGTTTCATTTGCTTTTATTTTTAATATAGGCACAAAGTTAGCGTCTTGAGACGGCCTTCTTAAATATTCGTCACAAACAGAAGTGAAAAAATAGTGACATAACATGTCATCATTACACAGTTTATTCTCATTTTTTTCAGATCTGGAATATTGACGAAACTTTTCACTTTATTCAGACAATAGATTTTGTTTGCTTATTTCCCCACTGGGAAATTTAACATGCCTTGACATTTAATTTGTGACAACTAGGATATTTGTGTATGCATTTAAACCAGCGAACACAAATGACAATATTTTGTTATAAATCAATACAAATAAAATGAATAAGATGTAACATTTATCATAAAAAAACAACAATTATTATTATATTATTCATACAAAACAACAGTTATAAGGAAAAAAAGACAAATTTACGACAAAGTTTTTTTGACAGACAAGATAACATACACCAAGTTACAAACTGGCACCTTTGTTTGATTAGGGAACATGATTTAAAAGTTAAAAATGAAAAACTTTTCAAAGAATAATGATCATATAATATATTTTTGATTTGCCAATTGATCTGAATCTTGAAAGTGCTTTGCATGCAAATCTTCAAGTTAGATATTACATAGTTTTCTTACCTATATAAACAATGACCTTTTGATGTACACTCTTCATCATATATTAACAATATTTTAATAATCATTGTCGAATTTAACAATGGAATAAAGAAAGCTTAAAGGGGCAGTACCGGTATACAAAATTTTTATTATCAAAAACATTATAAATTATACCTGAAAATATTTCTAAAGTATGCTATTTATATCCATGTATCTACTTGATCAAACTGAATTTTTTTAAAAGGGTTAATTAAAAACAGAGATTACTAATTATTAATTAAGCAGTTTGGCTTAGGTTTGATTTTTGGCTTATTAATGGCTCGATATTATTAGTTAAAATGTTAAGAATACTAAGGAGACCTATTTCTCCACAATTAGGCGTTTATTTTTCTCAAATCTATACAGTTGTTGTCTTACACCAACCAAAATGAATAACAAACATAAAAAATTTACGTAAGATTTTAAAATAGTTTAAATTATTTTTTTGGTTAAAACTTTCAGGAACGTTAAGAACCACGTTTCTCTGGATTTTTTCGACCTTCAAATAAAACAGAATGTCCTTTCAAGAAGATTGTTACAAGGTTAAATATTAAACATCAAAGTTATATATATATGATGTATACATTGGATTTGGAAAATATTATTAAGCTAACGTTGATGGTCAAAATTTTGCTGTTGGTGGTTTGAGCAAAATTCAATGTCTTTTTTTGTTTCTTCCAGTCTTAAAACTTTGATCTGCTTTAGATTGTGAGTCTGCTAAGTGGCTTGAAGCATGGAATATTAAACAAATTGGCACTACAATCCAAATTAGATTCATAAATAGAAAATAAAACCAAAAATAAAGTGGATGACCGTGATCTCCATGTGAAAATCCTTCTTTGATTTCTGTCATAAAGTAGAGAACGTCACCATATAGTTGACAAATAGACACTATCAGCTGCAATATATATCTATACGAACTTTGACGGAAATATGCAACTAAAGCCAGAAATGATAAAGGTCCATCTATAGCAGCTGTTATACTTTCCATACACAAAACAAATGTATCAGACCTACAATATAAAATACACAAATTACCAGTCTTAATTTAATCAAACCAAACTTTCATTCCGCTTTTTATTACCTTTCATTTTTAATGTAGCCAGTTAGGGTCTTATGCCAGCCCCCTTGAACATTCACTCCAATAACCTTTTGACCTTATTTGATGACCAATCAAATTTAACTTGGTCAATTCTGAACATCCAATAAAAAGGCATGTTCTTATTTCAATTTCAGTGGACTTATTCCAGTATAAAAATACAAGTGTTGATTTGATTGGATTAAGCAGAGGCTTTCACGTTAAGTCAAAAAGGTCATAGTGATGATTGTTCAAGGGCTATCTTCAGACCCTAACTTGGTTACATAAAAAATAAAAGTTAATAGAAAACAAATATAAGACTTGATATATATTTGTCATTCACTTACGTAAGATATCGGCTGTCACCTTTACTGTATTCTTTCCCTGTGAAGATAAAACAAATTTAAAAAGTTAATTAATAAGGTTACAATTCAATCACTTTGTACAGTTACAAGTCAAGGAATCAACCATAAACCAAACCAAAAAGGTAAGGAAAACCCATACCATGGAACCATGGAATAATCCCCTCCCACCCCTAAATACACCACTGCACCTAATATTCAGCATGGGTCTGCCTTGGTTGGTAGATCTAGACCCAAATGAACCACATTCAAAGTAAACTGTCGACTGAACGCCCTCAAAATGTGAACATGCTTTCATTTAATCATCTATTATCTCAAAACCAATCCATCCTTTCAATTGAGACAAAAAAAACTTATTCAAGGGAAGTAACCCAATTTATGTCAAAAAATGTATTACTTACAAACTTGAGCAAGGAATGTCATTTCTCCAGCTATTGTCGCATGAAACAAACTAAAATAACCTTCTAGAAATGTATGAATCAAACCACACATCATAAACCAACATAAAATAAGTCTCTCTGTGGTTGAAAATTTCGTTTTGGAACGTCCACTGAAAAACCAGGTGAACACCATGAAAAGTCCAACCGAGCCAAACATACCTCCCAACAAAACTGATAATTCTTTATCGTTTGGTACATAATGAGGAAGTGCAATATCCTGCGGGTAATATGGATGCTTTACTGAACTATTTGGTACCATTTTTATTTCGAGTTTCAATTCAACTTTACACAAATTTTGATTCCCCGATCACCTTTGACGATCCAATGCCTTCTCGTACATAGAACTCTATGTCTCGTACGACGACAGTTAACCAATCAAATTATTACATCTTAATCATGTGACTTTTACTTTCAGTTTGTTATTATAACGTGATGTGTCTAGTTTCGGTTTATCAATAACAAAGAGTTTTGATGTTAAATTTTGAAGCATACTGGATTGTTTTAAATCTATTTCAAAATGCACCCAAGCACCTGGAAGTATGTCATGAATATTATAGGATTACAAAATGCAAGGGTCGTAAGTCAAGTATTACCTTGGCTAAGTTAAATCATGCTTACTACAAAACAATAGAATCTTTGTCCAACATTTTGTTCATTGATTTTTCCCTTGACAATTTATTATTTATCAAGTTTTCTTTTGTACTGAATTGAAATTTCTAGACTGGTAGATTTTTTTCAATTAAAGCACATTATATACCAGTAAATAAGGCAAGGAGTTAACGTTTGCTTGCAGCAGATAGGCCTACTGATATTACAAACTAGGTAGTAGTTGGTAGTTGGATTTAAAGGCAAGGGGGGCTTACTGCGCATTGCCTACTCTTTTATCAACAATGAAGCCTTTTCCCCATTTATTTATATATTTTTTTGGCTGTGATATTGACCAGTTGTCTTTTTGTGTTTTTCTTGAACAATTATATCGCTTGATGATGAAGATGGTGGCCTACATGTAACAGTTTTCTAACAGTGGTTTGTAATGTTTTAGGAAGGAGGAGGGGGGAGGGGAGATTTTTTGACTGGTCCAACAAGGTCCAGAGGAATTATTTCAGATATTGACATAATAATTCTTTCATTTATATTTTTTCAGACGTCTCAGCCCAAAGAATAAGGAAGATGAAACGTGTGAGAGATACATCTTTAAAGATCATAATCACAAAACAGTTAATAAACTTTCTAAATTATTTATAAATAAACAACTATGTGATGTCACTTTAAAGGTACTGAACAATTTGTTTCTACATAAGATATAAGAAATATGAGAGAATAAGAAATAGCCTTGATATTGCGTAAAATTGTTAAAGATGGGTTTCCTTATTTTTTAGAGTCCAATTAACGAATCTATTTGATTAATTGGTGTTTCTCATGAATTATCATTAAGAGTTTTAACCAATCATAGATGTCCATGTCTGTACAGTCTGGATAAACAAAACAGACTTTTTGACCATTCTTGATCAGTCAGTCATTGAAATTCTGCTAGTAATTTTCTTCTAATGTGACAAGTCATTAGAACACCTCTACTTTCCATTCATATAAGTATTAGCATTTTCATTTTCATGAATAAAAAATAAGGGAACCCATCTTTAAGAAATGAAATGAAATGACTATGTTCCATCTTAGCACCATTGACCATCACAAATCAGTTTCAAAATGGCTGATCATCACTATTGATTGAGGAACTTCTTGTGAAAACTTCACATTTTGGTCACTGTGTATATAATGCGCAAGCCCTTCATAGGATATATTTTGATGGTTATTAGCTGTAGTAAGAAATATAAGGCAGGTCAATGACAAAGTGATTCTAATTGATTTAAAACAATAACCAAACTACATCTATTGTTATTTATGGCTATATTTACAGTTAAGAATTTCACACAAATCTAGTGGTTATTTGTCGTTTTATCAAAAGTTTCTTTTGCTTGAATAGATAGAGGGAAAAGACCTAGAAGCCCATAAAGCTATCTTAGCTATTAATAGTGATTATTTTGAAGCTATGTTTTCACATTGGTATGGTGAGAGTAATGAACACAGTGTTAAGTTGGAGAATTTGAATTATCATGCTGTATGTACTATTGTTAAATTTATGTATACTGGTACAATATCATGTAAGTACTATACAATATCATGTAAGTACTATACAATATCATGTTAGTATTATACAATATCATGTAAGTACTATACAATATCATGTAAGTATTATACAATATCATGTAAGTACTATACAATATCATTTAAGTACTATACAATATCATGTAAGTACTATACAATATCATGTTAGTACTATACAATATCATGTAAGTACTATACAATATCATGTAAGTATTATACAATATCATGTAAGTACTATACAATATCATGTTAGTACTATACAATATCATGTAAGTACTATACAATATCATGTTAGTACTATACAATATCATGTTAGTACTATACAATATCATGTTAGTACTATACAATATCATGTAAGTACTATACAATATCATGTAAGTATTATACAATATCATGTAAGTACTATACAATATCATGTAAGTACTATACAATATCATTTAAGTATTATACAATATATATAGAAAAGACATCTATAGAAAAAGGAAGGTAAATTACCCGTTTGAAGTATATTTAAAGGGATGATGTGATTTTCATGCAGTTTTAGACTAGGTCTTCAAGACCCAAATGAATCCTCAGAAAAAAGTGAACCATGGCCTGTAACCTGGGTATAGTTATGTTATGTATAGTTGTTTTAATCACAATTTTGATATTTTACAGTAACAACAGAAAATGTTAAAGATGTATTTATAGCTAGTGATTTATTACAAATGTTACATATTAAATCATTATGTAGCGGTTATATGGTAAATGTATTAGATGCTAGTAATTGTATGGGTAGGTATTAATTAAGTGTATAGGGCTAACTGTAGTGGTACTAATATACTTACATTTTGGTAGGAGACTCAAATCTCATACACGGTCATCAACCAATTGTTCTTATCTAATATACTCTGTAATAAGATTCCTGGAAATTTATATAAATAAACTAAGTACTAACAATCCAAACTGTGAAACCAAACCTGCAATCCATAACATCATATTGGTGAAACATTGCTAGCAGCTTATGCACTTTTCACATGAGGAAGTATATCAATCATAAGTGAGTAAGTATTTCATAATGAAAAGTGGTATCAGGTGTGTAGAACAAGTAGTTTGATTTTTTTGACACCAAAAAAATAAGGAAACCCCTCCCTCGGACAACTTTTTAACCACAACGATTTTACCAGTATTATCATCTTACTTACTTACTAAACTGTCAGTCAAAATGTCCTGTGTGAATAAGTTTCCACTTAATAGAGAATCTAGCCAATACTGATTGGATGAAGTGGGGTTGGGTTAATTTCTTATTTTGAATTATATTTGTAGGAATGTTAAGTTTAGGAGAAGTATATAATTGTCAATATCTTTATGATAAAAGCATGAAACTATTAGCACTACAGTTTCCTCTAGTCAGCTCTACATCTGAATTATATCAGATATCCTTTCATAAATTACTTGATATATTAGCTTCAGATGATCTGAATTTAGGTAAGATAATTTATACTTGTGCAGCTGATACTGGTAGTCAAGACGACAAATTGAACAGTTTTATCAAAAAAGCTTTTTCGTAGTATGGAATATTCTGGCGGTTGACTTCTTGCATCCGTCAGTCATTCAAAATTTCTTTTCTCTTCTTTGGGGTTTCGGACAAGAAATACTCGGTTTCCCAGTTCACTTCATGCTTTAAAAAATACTTACCCTACAAAGTTTCTAGTATTGCTTTCTTTGTCATTACAATTGATCAGAAATTCTTATTCAACAGGTCATGAAAGAGAAGCGTTGGTATTAAAAGTTGTTGTGAAATGGTTAGATAGAAATGGTAGTATAGACAGAGATGATTTATCATTGTTACTTACTTATATTAGAATGAAACATATTGATAAGACTATTCTACAGTCTCTTCTAGATAGTTCTATATACTTCCATTCACAAGGTATGTTAACCATTGTATAATAGATAGTTCTATATACTTTCATTCACAAGGTATGTTAACCATTGTATAATAGATAGTTCTATATACTTCCATTCACAAGGTATGTTAACCATTGTATATTAGATAGTTCTGTATACTTTCATTCACAAGGTATGTTAACTATTGTATATTAGATAGTTCTGTATACTTTCATTCACAAGGTATGTTAACCATTGTATAATAGATAGTTCTATATACTTTCATTCACAAGGTATGTTAACCATTGTATAATAGATAGTTCTGTATACTTTCATTCACAAGGTATGTTAACCATTGTATAATAGATAGTTCTATATACTTTCATTCACAAGGTATGTTAACCATTGTATATTAGATAGTTCTATATACTTTCATTCACAAGGTATGTTAACCATTGTATATTAGATAGTTCTATATACTTTCATTCACAAGGTATGTTAACCATTGTATATTAGATAGTTCTGTATACTTTCATTCACAAGGTATGTTAACCATTGTATATTAGATAGTTCTGTATACTTTCATTCACAAGGTATGTTAACTATTGTATACTAGATAGTTCTATATACTTTCATTCACAAGGTATGTTAACCATTGTATATTAGATAGTTCTATATACTTTCATTGCAGATAAAAAAGAAATGGTTATGAAACAACTAGAAACATGTAATGAATGTGAAAAAAGAAATCTCAATCAATCCATTTATGTTTTTGGTGGATTTCTGCAATCAAGAACAGGGTAAGAAGAGTTAAAATCACACGACAGAGTTTTAGAACATTGTGTTTCTTTCCAACAAGTCTATTATAATGAAATAAAATGAGAATGAAAATGTTTTTCTGCGACGCACTTGACAGACTCAAAATATTTATTTATAAAGTCAATCATTTGTTCTTTAAACAAGGTTTTTCTCCAATGCGCAGAGCAGAATTGTCTCTTTTTTAATCAAGTCTTCTGTGAATAGGTAAATGTTTTATTTTTCAGACCACTTTGTCCCCGCCTGAAAACCTGTGAAAAATACAATGTAGAAAAAGACTCGTGGAAAAATATTGAAGGGTTATTAAAAACTTCATCTAATGCACAGATTATCAACATAAAAGGAAGAATTTTATATTTTGAACCTTCTTCTTCAGAAGGGACACCTCAAATTTTAGAATACAATGTAGTTCAAAACACATGGAAAACAGCAGTTTTAAATTTGTCACATGATGTTCAGTCTTTAATTCATAATTATTCTAGAGGTGGAGAACTTATTCTTTATGATGATCAAAATGACTGGCTCTACTTGGTTCACAAAAGTGTGCGGAAATTAATTCTGGAATTTGATGAAGGGGAAATTTGTTGTAAACAATATGAAACTTTATCTAATACTGAACAATTAGATTATGAAGAGTATAGTTGTGTTGTTTGTAATAATGAACTATATTTAATGGGCGGTGTATTCAAAAAATCTCTTACTGAATCAGAAGTAAAAGCTGATGTGGTATGTTTTAGCAGAAATGAATGGAAGAGAAAGGCAGACATGTTGGAAAGACGAGGAATGTTTGGAGCTGTTTATTTAGGTTTGTATATTTCATTGAGTTATACTGCACCAGAATCCCATGTTTAAACCATATAACAGTCACAGTACCCTAAATAGATGGGATGAAAAGGAGGTAGATTTGGTAGATCATGATGTCTCAGTGAGTTAGATGCTTGGTCACTTAACTGAAGGTCCAAGGTTTCCAAATTACATGTACATGAAGATAATAACAGATTTTCCATACTGTTTTTCCCTTGATTGTGATACAGGTCAATGGGGCAATATAAAAGTCAACTTTGAATTATAGATAGATATATTAGTCAGTTTTATATTATAGATGGATATATAAGTCAGTTTTATATAATAGATGGATATATAAGTCAGTTTTATATTATAGATGGATATATAAGTCAGTTTTATATTATAAATAGGATATATAAGTCAGTTTTATATTATAGATGGATATATAAGTCAGTTTTATATTATAAATAGGATATATAAGTCAGTTTTTATTATAAATAGGATATATAAGTCAGTTTTATATTATAAATAGGATATATAAGTCAGTTTTATATTATAAATAGGATATATAAGTCAGTTTTATATTATAAATAGGATATATAAGTCAGTTTTATATTATAGATGGATATATAAGTCAGTTTTATATAATAGATGGATATATAAGTCAGTTTTATATAATAGATGGATATATAAGTCAGTTTTATTTTATAGATAGATATATTAGTCAGTTTTATATTATAGATGGATATATAAGTCAGTTTTATATTATAGATGGATATATAAGTCAGTTTTATATTGTAGATCGATATGTAAGTCAGTTTTATATTATAGATGGATATATAAGTCAGTTTTATATTATAGATGGATATATAAGTCAGTTTTATATTATAGATGGATATATATAAGTGAGTTTTATATAATAGATGGATATATAAGTCAGTTTTATATTATAGATGGATATATATAAGTGAGTTTTATATTATAAATAGGATATATAAGTCAGTTTTATATTATAGATGGATATATAAGTCAGTTTTATATAATAGATGGATATATAAGTCAGTTTTATATAATAGATGGATATATAAGTCAGTTTTATTTTATAGATAGATATATTAGTCAGTTTTATATTATAGATGGATATATAAGTCAGTTTTATATTATAGATGGATATATTAGTCAGTTTTATATTATAGATGGATATATAAGTCAGTTTTATATTATAGATGGATATATAAGTCAGTTTTATATTGTAGATCGATATGTAAGTCAGTTTTATATTATAGATGGATATATAAGTCAGTTTTATATTATAGATGGATATATAAGTCAGTTTTATATTATAGATGGATATATATAAGTGAGTTTTATATTATAAATAGGATATATAAGTCAGTTTTATATTATAGATGGATATATAAGTCAGTTTTATATTATAAATAGGATATATAAGTCAGTTTTATATTATAGATGGATATATAAGTCAGTTTTATATAATAGATGGATATATAAGTCAGTTTTATATAATAGATGGATATATAAGTCAGTTTTATTTTATAGATAGATATATTAGTCAGTTTTATATTATAGATGGATATATAAGTCAGTTTTATATTATAGATGGATATATTAGTCAGTTTTATATTATAAATAGGATATACAAGTCAGTTTTATATTATAGATGGATATATAAGTGAGTTTTATATTGTAGATCGATATGTAAGTCAGTTTTATATTATAGATGGATATATATAAGTAAGGTTTATATTATAGATGGAGGATATATCAGTCATTTTTATATTACAGATAGATATATAAGTCAGTTTTATATTATAGATGGATATATAAGTCAGATTTATATTATAGATGGATATATCTATGTTTTGGGTGGTTTTAATACAAGAAGAGTTAATACTGTGGAGAGATACAATGTTCACCTCAATCAATGGAGCTATATAGCTAATCTTATTAAAGAAAGGAGTCATCTGAAGGCTGTAGTCTGCTCACAAACAATATATGTCATGGGAGGTTGGTAGAATATATTCTATTATCAAATGTTTTAGGCATACTCAATTTACAGTTCATTTAACATGATATTATTTTTGGATAGAGTATCAGTATACAAGGGCAACTTGGGATCCTACCAGTCAGTCTTTAGAGCTCCTTCAACATTTTTTACTATAGTGCTGTAATCTGTTTTTAAAATTCTCTTATGAAATTCTTGTATTGTGTTTCAGGGAAATCTTATTCATCAAATCATTGTGGGGCAAGAAAGGTATTAAATACTTGTGAAGTTTATGATCCAGTCATCAACTCATGGAGATATATTCAGTCTATGAAAAATTCACGTTGTGTGTTTGGTGCAATAGCTTTTTGAAGTGTACAACTTTTCAAATATTACTGAAAATGATCATTTTAATGTTGTCTAATAAAATCTTCTCCAATCTCCTGAAAAATTATTATTTGACTGTAATCCATTATTACAGTATTTTTATCAACTTAATAACCCAGACTACAAATCAAATAATATCAGCAGACTTGGCACTGTTCAGTTTAGTGGCTGTTTCTGACCCCTGCTTTCTTTTTTTATTCGATTTACATCTGTTGAAGGAGAACAGCCTGTAGCACACAGGGCCTTGAGTTATTGTGACATCCGAACACCAAAATGCAATGTCCATAATCAGCCCCTTCGACCTGCATCACTGATGGAGTAACCTGGTGGAAAAATCTGAAGATAACATCTCGACCTCTGCTGGGATGAAACTCTGTACCTTCTGGTTAACTCACTGAGCCACCGCAGTTCTCTAAGAGAATTGAAGTCAGGATCAACTAATTGTTGGGTGTTAAAGTATGGCTGTCTTCATCAAAAACTGAAAATGAGTGGTTATTAAATTATAGATAAATAATAGTTGTATTTACAGTTAAATGCACATATCATTTACAATATACTTAAAAAATACATTTCTATCACAATTTCAAACAAACAAACAAACTACGTACCAATTCAGTTTTTTACAATTAAGCATTTTGACACAAAGTTCTTCTTACATTATATTTTTGATTAAAAATGGTTAGGATAAAATTCCAAATAAACATGGACACAAAAAAGCTAGAACAAACTCAAATATATGATCAATTCATGAATAAAAGGAATTCCACCTCTGATCATATAAAATATAGCTTAAACCAACCTTGGCCACTAAGAGCATATATTCATCAGTCATTATAACGAGATTCAGATGTATAGTATATACAACTGTTCATTGCATTATCAAATATATATTCTTATTGGCTTGGAAGTTGGGAATGTTTATTCTCAGACGTAGAATTCTGAGTTCTAAATCTGAACCAAAGTAAAAGAATTTTTGAGTACTGCTTTCATCAAAGATGTCTTAAGAATATTTAACAACTAATAAAGAAATAAAAAGACCCATAATTGTATGAGTAATAAAATATACAACTAAAATATTCAAAAAGGAGTATAGTCAACTTACTCTGACCAACTGACAAGTAGCAAATACTAGCCCTGTTAATATGAAATATGGCCCACTTGTAATATACACAGGGCTTTTCAATAGTTCTTTTTGGTAATAAAATTAATAAAAATTCCTGAGAAAAATTTTAATTGGAATCTAATTGTTCCCTATTATTTAATTGTTCCCTATTATTTGTGTTTTTTTCAAACAGAACATCAACTTAAATATTTACATTTTTGGTTTTCAATAATTAACATTTTTATCCCAATCTGTCACTAACCCTCCTCTAATCTACTAGCTAGAAGAAGATGGTGACCTATTCAAAAACATTTGTTTTTTTATTTTATCTCTTAAAGTTTCATTTAAATCTGTCATCGATTGTACCTTCAACATTGTTTATCAGCTAAATATAGAAGCGCATTTAAGAACAACCAAAAAAGCAAAAACTTAAATCAATCTTTTTTATGATTTTATCTATTTTCAAAAGGGTTCTTTCTTGGGTGATAATAAACAATTTCACCAAGTTTAGTCCAGAATTGTGCCTTCGACAATGTTTTCAAAATAAAATTAAACGAATTTTCAAGATCAAGGATATACTTAACATTTTTCGATTTTTTTTTAAATTTTCAACAGGGTTCATCCTGTAACAAAATAAACAATTTCACCAAGTTTCATCAAAATCCATCCAGAATAGGTCTTCTTGAGTGTTTACAAGCAATTATGGACAGAAGGACAGACAGGCCAAGAGACATGGATGACACCAATATAGTTCAATACATATAATGAAGACATAAAAAAAAGGAAAAATGAAAAAAAGTATGATAGATAGCACAATGTAATATTTGTAGATTTAAGTAGATAGTAGATAACTATGTGATGACTGTTATATTTCTAGTTAACTATTCAGATGAGATTCTAGTTATTTAATCTCAAACCTCAATGGTTTTTAAACAGTAAATTTCACTATCCATTCATATCAACTTATTGTTGCATCCTGTGAAAAGGAGTGAGCTGAGCTATGAACACTATTTAGCTGATTAGCTCAGCTTAAGAATTCCCGTTTCTGAGACTAAAGTATGATTGGTCAAAAAAATGTCCATCCTGGCTCTTTGAAGAATAAAAGACCTGTCAAATCTATTAAAACTTATATATAAGTATAAAATCAAGGCATTCAAATAAAATGAATTTTCACGTGTAAATTAAAAATATGTTTATAATATCAATATGGTAACAGTAATAAACTATTTATTAAAGGTATATGCCCTCAATAATAAAAAAAAATTAAAAATTTGTCATGGCTTTAGAAGCAAAATTCTGTTTAAGACAATTGCTAAATGGATATGTATGTTACAACTGAATTATTAACCAAAAAAAAAACCTAATTTTGTTGAACTAGGGGTTCATGCTGAGCAATCTTTAGAGAATTAATCTCTTTCAGTCTGTGTATTTCATGTGGTTTGACATTAAATAGACATTCTATATTTTTCGTATGAGAAGTCATTCATTGTTCCTCTTTGCACCATTCCAATTTACCATCAGATGTTTGTGGTTCTTGTAATTATAGAGATGCTTCACCATATATTATGACATAAATATCCAAAAAGATGCTTATAATATCTTGGGGCCTTTGCAATAGCTTAAACACCTAGTTTAGTGAAATTGCAAGAACCAGACGTCAAATCGATGCTATAAGTGTCCCAGATACACATTTAAGTTTAGAAAACATAAAATCTTCTTTAGGGCATTGGTAATACACAGAAGAAACTGTTCGAAACTTTGGTCAATAAGTTTCTTGGAATAAATTTAATTATTCTAATTTGTATTTTGAATGTTTCTGGAGAAACCAGTATATGTTTTCGAAGTAATAATATGTTTACTTTGTTAAATATGATGAAATTCTAATAAATGTTTAGTAAATACTGTAGGCTGATCTATAGTAATCACATGTCCACATGAATCTATCACTTCTACACTCTTACAGTCTGTTAACTTTTCTTTTAATACTTCTAAACCTGATACATCTATAATCTAGAAATATAAGATACATAGCACATTATTATACATCTATAATCTAGAAATATAATATACATAACACATTATTATACATCTATAATCTAGAAATATAAGATACATAGTACATTATTATACATCTATAATCTAGAAATATAACATACATAGCACATTATTATACATCTATAATCTAGAAATATAACATACATAGTACATTATTATACATCTATAATCTAGAAATATAACATACATAGCACATTATTATACATCTATAATCTA